CTCCCGTAAAGATTTACACCCTCGGAAACCCTGTACAGGGTCGCTATGGGTCGGAACCGACTTGACGGCACTTAACAACAACAACATCCATTTCAAAGAGTTGAGAGGGATTTGTAGAAACAGCTGAACATGTCTATTTCATATATGAAAGTTACACATGATTAACTTCTCATCTAGTAGGTTCTCATAAATGTATTTCTTGAAATTAATCTTTGAGATTTAAAATTTTAAGTAAATCTGGTTTTTTAGTATATTAATAATGACATTTTAATGTTTTACTTACCATCAAGAAGATATTTCTTCTCTTTGTGCTTTTCATTATTATTAAAATTGAATCTTGACCCTTCTCTACATGAGTTTATTTTTTTAAAAAAATAGTAAGTGAATAGATGTATTCAATGAAACCCAAGAGAGTTGGAATTAAATGGAATTGTCTCATTTTTCTGTGTCTCACAAATTTTCCACCTTCACAGTGTTAATTCTTATTCTCTGTTTTGTTTTAGTGGAAACTATTTGACTTTTGTTAGTTTTTTTTTTAACATTTGCCTTTGTCCTATAGTCTGTTGACAGTTTGAGAGAAAAGTTGTATACCTTTTTAGTACTTACTTTCAGGTAACTTAGGATGAACGAAACTAAAACCTTAGTAAATTTATTCCATATAAGTATATTATTTACAAATCTAGAATGTAAGATGTCTTTTTCCTTTCAGAATTAATAAAGCATTTGTTACCTGGAAAGTTAATGTTAAAAGAATTAAGACAGAAAAGAGCAGGTAAGTTTCACTATGTAATATATTTATAAAATTTTAAAAGGAAGTCATGTTTTTTAAATTCAGGAGAAGAGCAAATATTTATGTAATTCAGTGATTGGGGATTGCTTTTATGATTTAAGTTAACCTATCTTTCTTTTAAAAGATCATTAAAGTTTTACTATAGTTCCTGGTGTGGCGCTGTGGGTTAATGTGCCAGACTGCAAAGCTGTTTGAACTGCAAGGTCGGTGGTTCAAGCTCACCAGCTGCTCCTTGGAAACCCTATACAGGGTCACTATGGGTCGGAACCAACTTGATGGTACTTAACAACAACAACAGTAGTTCCAAATATAAATGTATGGTTTGAAGAAATCAAGGAAAGACAACATGATTCTAACTTTTAGCTTCCAAGAAAAGAAATGGTGAAATTATTCAAACTCTATTACAGTTAATCCTATTTTGTAAGATCTTGAGGATCCAAGTTTGGGTTTTTGTTTTTTTACTTGAACATTTGATTTTTGAGAAAACTGTAGATTGAAATGAAATAGTACAGAGATCCCATGTAGTCTTTAACCAGTTTCCCCCCAATAATAATACCTTGTAAAAATATAGTACAATGGCCCCATCCAGAACCTTCTGAGATGGGACAGTCCCCCTAGAAAGGAGAAGCAGACCAGCCTGGAACAGCTAGAGTGACAGAAGATACACCTTCAAAGAAAGATCATTCGTAAAACCCAAAACAAAAATGTCAGCGTGACTGACTACTACAAGAATAAGCAAGTTGTTTGCTGGGAAGCCACCAAGGCAAGCAATCAAGTTCCTTCAGAACAAACCCACCTCTAAGACTGAAACACAAAGGAAACACATAAGCAGGCATGTAAGCTTTCTGGCAACCACATTGGTCTACTGATGAGTGGAAGAGGGGGAAAGGCAGCAATGAAGAATGGACTGTGTTCAACAATGTTCAATAGACTCCCATTGACCTGGAGATGAAAGAAAGAAGAGGAAGGGCTGATTGGTAAAAATGTGGTAAGACCTGGGGACACATGAGCCCATGGACAAGACATAGCCACTGAGGGCTAGAGCTGAGAGTGAAGCATCCAACTGATATGAAGTGAGGGGAGACATACAAGAACACCCAACTTGCAGATAGTACTCATTTGACCTAGCTTCAATGGCTTGATAATTAGAACTCAACTAGAGGAAGAGTTTTTAAAAAAAAATTTTTTTATGAAGAAAATAAGGGTAAATTGCTACAATTTGATGAACTTGACCTATACTCATGGATGAAGTAGCTCAAAATACCAAACTGAGAGGGAAGGAGTCTTCACTTCAAGTATCAATGCTATCCCCTCTGTACACAGAGTAGGTAGGGATGGGCACCTTAGATCTTGGCTACCTAAAATGAGGGGGCAATAAAGGCACGAAGTTACTGGCTTACAAGGTTTCAAGAGGGAGTTTAAGTGTGTGGGGGAAGAAAGAGTCCCCACTGAATCGTTTTCATCTTGTCTAGATGGGTCTGGTGAAAAGAGATGGGGATAAGATTCGTATGATTCAATAGTAAGTAATAGTTATCATGACTAATTGCGACTGTCACAATTATAAAGGTAGAAGTTTTGTAACAATAGCAGGGGAGTAGTTAACCTTACAGTCCAGAAACAGAGGACCTTAGGACCATCAAGAGAGAAACGCACAAGCAGAATGAGAGATCTTATCCAGAGAAGCAGCGACACCAGAGATGGAGGCAGAGATGGGGACATGGAGAGAGGGAGCAGCTGAGGATTCATGGAAAGAGAGGATTCATGGAAAGAGAGGGACTGAGAGCTGGTGGCCAGAAGGCAGACTTGCAGAATGTGCCCTTTGGTGCTGTAAATTATTATATATGCCTGAGTGTTTAAAAAAAAACAAAACAAAAAAAGTGCTAAAGTGAATAGAAAGACTGTTATCTGATGATACATGGAGGGGATTATAATCATTGTAATGAAACACGGTGTATGATTTGTTGAATGTAAAACTGATGATATGCCCTGTACACTTTCACTCAATTCACAATAAAACTTAAAAAAAAAAAAAAGTATAGTACAATGGTGTTGTTGTTGTTAAGTGCCATTGAGTTTGTTCTGAATTACGTTGTTAAGTACCGTGGAGTCAGTTCCAACTCACAGTGACCCTGCACAGGATTTCTGAGGCTGTAAATCTTTACAGGAGCAGAACGCCTCATCTTTCTCCCGTGGAACTACTGGTAGTTTCGAACTGCTGACCTTGAGGTTAGCAGCCCGATTGGTAACCACTACACTACCAGAGCTCTGACTTATAGTGACCCTTTACAAGGTTTCTGAGGAGCAGCTAGTCAATTTGAACTGCCGACCTTGTGGTTCACAGTCTAGTGCTGATCCTACAGTGCCATGCCAAGAGTTAACACACCCTAAATATTGACACTGATTAAGCCAAAATACAGAACATTTCGATCATCACAGGCTGCCTCGTGTTACCGTTTTATAGCCATACCCACTTCCCGCATGCCCCCACTAACTTCCTTAACTCCTGAGGACCACTAATCCTTCATTTCTGTAGTTTTGTCATTTCAAGGGTGTCATATAAATGGAACCAGGCAATACATAGCCTTTGAGATTGGCTGTTTTTCACTTAACATAACTTTCTGGAAATTCATTCAAATTATTGCATGAATCAATAGTTTGCTTCTTTTAATAGCTGAGTAGTATTCCATAGTATGGAATGCTGACCTTGCGGTTCACAGCCCAATTCATAACCACTATGCTACTAGAGTTCCTTCATATCTGTGTCAAAATAAGAAAACTAATATTGAATACATTTTTATTAGAAAACTTAAATAGTGCTGAATAATATGAAATCATTACTACCCGAATTTTGGTCATCACGCTCTTATTAATAAATTCAAAGACTTGTGTTTGCTTTAGTGATGCTTCTATTGACATAGAATGTGCCTATAGTCTTTAGCTCTGGTAGCGTAGTGGTTACGAATCCGGCTGCGAACCTTAAGGTCAGCGGTTCGAAACTACCAGCTGCTCCACGGGAGAAAGATGAGGCTTTCTACTCCCGTAAAGATTTACACCCTCGGAAACCCTGTACAGGGTCGCTATGGGTCGGAACCGACTCGACGGCACTTAACAACAACAACAACAACATAGTCTTTAGCATGATCTTTTCCTCCGTTTACCAGATACTTAGAGACATGTCAATAAATAATTTATTCTACACACCATAAATTATTGTTGTGTGAAGCTTATATAATTTGAGAAGGCCTTCTTAAAAATAAATAACATAAGGCTTTGGGAGGAGCCATAAAAATGAAGAACCCACAACACTTTAGCTTCACTGATTTTTTGATCTGTAAAGTTCTCTCTCATCTGTAAAATGGATAGATAGGAATAGTTCATTTTTAATTATACATATATTATGAGCTTGGTAATCCTTCATAACCAATCACCTCACAAGAGATCTGTGACGAGCAGAGGGGTCCTCTCTACATACCTTTCTGATCCACTTATCTAAGAGTCTATTTCTTTAAATACTGTCTTGTCCCCTCCCATTCTTTTCTTTCCAGTATTGTTAACAATGATTTGAGTCACTCTGTAAACATTAATAGACCAGTAGAAATAGAGAAAAGATCCTATCTTTTCTACTTTAGAATATAAGTGGTCGGAGAATTTAAGCAATATTCTCAAATGGATCTCTGGCCCACTTACTATCCCTTTTCCTGTAATTGAAGAAGATATGAAGGGACTTCAAAAAGTTCATAGAAAAATGGAATTAAAAGACAACAGATTTTTTTCCATGAACTTTTTGAAGTCCCCTCATATAGAGGAAATTATTAAGATAATTTTATTTGGAAATCACTGCCTAATATTTAGAAATTGTTTGAACTCAGTGGTGTAACAGAATGTCATTGTTTCCCACTCTTATTTTATTTTTCCTTAAAAACCCAGTACACCAAGCTTTGCTTACAGCATAATCAGTCATAAACTCGTAATGCTTACTAATCTTTGTGATGTCATTTAAAAATATAGTAGATGCAGGATATTTTAGATATAGATATATGAAGTAAATTAGACTAGTTACCTCCAAATTAGTTTCATTCATTTTGAATGAGAGATAATGCTGTGAAATGTTTTTAACTTTTAGGTCATATTTGTGCCGTCATCTTTTTTTGACTGATGAGTCATTTCAAGGCTGTTTGCTTTACATTAGAGGACTTTGTGAAGATGCAGTTAACCTTAAAAAAGGTAATGGACATAAAGATAATCCATCTGCCATATACCTTATAAAGGTGGGTATAAGTATACTACTATACTAATAAAGATTGATATAATCATTGTTATACAGAAACTAGAACAAAAGGACCAAAGGGATGAAGATTTATGATCTATAAGTAAATCATCACTTGTTGTTAAGTGCCGTCAAGTTAATTCCAACCCATAGCAACCTTGCATAGGGTTTCCAAGGAGCAGCTGGTGAGCTTGAACCATTGACCTTGCAGTTCAAACGACTTTGCAGTCTGACACATTAAGGGATGGGTAATATGCTGAAATGCCTCCAAATGACAAATGTATGGGTAGTACATTTTCAAATGAGGAAACTGAGTCCAAGAGAGATTGCAATTTATCCAAAGTACAGACTACATAAAGACAATGTTGGGACTTATGATTTTGTTTTATATTTAGAGGTGAACTGTAGTCTATATGGCAGTAGAAATGTAGATTTTTGTGTATTCCCTCTTGGGGAGTTGCAGAAAGTGTACTAGTAATCTACATTTTAGCAAGTTCCTCTCATACTAATGCATAGCATATTTTGAGAAATACTCTTAAAGAATAACTATTGAAAGTTTCTGAATATGTTATTTTAGGAAAATTAATATGATATTGGTTTATAGGAAAACTTGCAAGTGGGGAGGAAGTAGAGTTAAAGAGATCAAGTAATATAACACTGGAATAATGCAGGCACCAGCAATAAGTACTTCTGTTAGGATGCTGGCAGTGAGGTAGGAAAGGGAAAGGATATTTTTGAAACAGTTTACTTGGAAAAATTAGGGTCTGGTAATCAGATATAGGACTAGAATAGGGAGAACTCAAAGATTAAATTAAAATTTTCAAAGCTAAGTGAGTACATTTAAATCTTTTTATGTTGCATTTTCAAATACATATATTTGTAAATTCAATAATACTACTGGAGATAAAGATATTTGCATATTTACTGATGAAAATGTGTTTAGTCATGAAAATTAACATAGTTTAGAAAAAAGGACATCATGCTTCAACAGAAAAGAGGAAGATCCTCAACAAGATGAATTGACACGGTGGTTGTAGCAAACGGCCAATGAGGACAGCCCAGGCCTCAGTAGTGCTCTGTTCTATTGTACATGAGGCCACTGTGAGTCTGAAAGTATATTTGACAGCACTTAACAACAACAACAAGGAAAAGGAAGAGAAATAATGAAGAAGAAAGACTAAATGTATATGAACAGTTCAAACATTCAGATTCTCTATTACCAGAGAGGAATTCGGTGGCACAGTTGTTGGAGATTTCTTCTTGCTGAGTCTAAATAAATTCAGAGTTGTTGTTGTTGTTATTAAGTGCCTTCGAGTCGGTTCAAATTCAGAGTAGAATTTCCTTAATTTGATTAGTTTCTTTTAGCCTCTTTGTACTACATTTAATATTCATATTTTTAAACTTGCAAATAATTGGGACTTTAAAGAGATAACAGGAACTACATTTCCTGGGATTGGTGGTTGCCCTGGGTTCCTGGGTATTCCTAAATACCTCTTGAATTTGTCTTTGGATTAATCTTATTTATGATTTGAATACTAATGTATTTTTCTGAATTTATCAAGATTTAGTTAGATTTAACTATAGATGTTTAAAATTGAAGAATGTGTAAGGCATATGGCATATAAATAATCATAAAGGCAGTTTAAGATATCTTATGTGAAAAAGATGACTAAAATATTTTATCTCTTTTTATGTAAATGAATCTTTACTACTCAACTTTTACTATAATTTAATTAGCTGGATAGGTCTCGTACCTATTCTCTAGATGAGTTTTGTGAAGAACAATTACAGCAAGCTTCCCAGGCATTGAAACAACTGGAGAATATCAGGGATAAAGCAATTTCAGAGATGAAAACTACAATATTAAAGGTAATTTAAAAATTGAATCCTCTTTATTTATTAAGGTTGCTATATGTTGATGGAAGGAATTGCTCCAAATTGCATCTCAGGGAAAACTGTCAGAAATGGGCAGGTAGAGATACAAAGGTGTTTAATAGATGGCTAATTAACCAATCAACTAGTATTGTACATTTACTAGGTACACAAATTTTTCCAGGTGCTGTGTCAAATGCAAAGCTGTGTGTGTGTGTGTGTGTGTGTGTACGTGCCTTCAAGATGCTTAAACACTAACTTAAGTTTCTATAAGTTATATTATGTAATTTGTTACAAAGTTCACAATCTTCCTATGACAAAGGAAAATCTATTGCTCAGGAGAAGCATAACTAGATGGGACAAAATTTCCCTAAGGATTTTACAAAGAGCACTCAGGATTATAATGACTAATAGCATAGTGGTTACGAATCAGGCTGCGAACCTCAAGGTCAGCAGTTCGAAACTACCAGCTAGCTGTTCTGTGAGAGAAAGATGAGGCTTTCTGCTCCCATAAAGATTTACAGCCTCGGAAACCCTGTACAGGATCACTATGAGTTGGAACCGACTCCACAGCACATAACCAACCAATCAACCAATGTCTCCAAAACATTCTGATCCTCTCTGTTCTGACTTGTCTCACAAGATGATTTTATATAGTTTTCCAGTATAGGAAATGGCAATGCATGAAAGCATAACTCAGCAGATGCAGTTTACTAAGAGATTGATTCAGTGTTGTCTAGTAATGGACCTGCTGCCTCACTGGGTTTGGTTGGATCCAAGTGGATATTTGCAGCTCTCTTAAGGAATGGTTGGAGTAAGATTCTAAAACAGTTTTCAAGTATTATTTATCTGGATGTAACTTTTGATGGATACTAAGTAGTAATGACATAAAAGACTCACTCACCTTTCTAACAAGAATATGAAGTGAAGTGATTTTATGTCAACTAAATCAGCAGAGTTTGAAAACCTCGCCTTCCTTTTTTGGTTCTTCACAGTCTGCTAACCTTTCAAACCCAGGCATATGCAAACAAACTCTGGGGAAATCTGACAAAGAATTGTATAAATAAAAATGGAATTGACTAAAATGTAACTTAGTCCACTAAGCTAGAGCAGATGGAAAGATACAGAAGTAAAATATCACTCATAGTTATTTGCCATTACAAAGCACTGCTATTTACTATTTTAAGAAATTTGATACTGCTTAAAACATGGAGTCCTGGTGTGTGCTGTGAGTTAATGCACTGGACTGCAAAGTTGGTTTGAATTGCAAAGTAGGTGACTCAAACTCACCAGCTGCTGCTCTTAAACCCTGTAAAGGGTCTCTATGGGTAGGAACTGACTCAACAGCACTTAATAACAACAACATGGAACTCAAACTATACAGGGCAAGAGCATCACCTACAAGGCTTGGTAAGGCAAGAAATATCTGTGTCGGAGGTCTGGTGTTCAGTCTCAATATTGTTAAGTGAATTAAATACACTGTACTTTGCATTTGTTTCTTACTGAAAACTTCCTTGAGTACATTAGAATTTATGAGTTATTCATTAGAAGTAAAGTCACAAATCCAGAATATTTCAATAAATATGGACCATGCTTTGTTATGAGAGTGATTATTAAGAAGTAATTATTAATGCCTTTTCATTTGACTTCCCAGGAAGATTCAGCATAGATAGCATTTGGAAATGAATACATGAATTTTTTTTTAACTGCTTGGTAATGTCTGACTACTCTGGCCAAACTCAGGCTAGTGGTTCTCAGCTAGGCTATACTGGAGCCACCTGAGGAGACTTTTAATAAATATTGATGCCTGTGGTCTTATGTTATACCAATTAAACCAGAATTTCTGAGGATAGCACCCAAAATGAATGATAGCGCCTTAAATGAATCTGAAAGATTGAGAAACACTCTTCTGCTAAATGTTTGGGATCACCTAGCTCTGGAGAAATATACCACAATTATAAAACAGGTGAACTAGAAACTGAGTCACCATCAGTAATGTAAATCTGCCATGAGAACTAAGATACACCAGACCCAAAATGTACCCTGCAATGGCAGAGAATCGGTTAGCAGCTTCCCCAACAGTCTTTAAAGACACCAGGATATCAGTGTATATTTTAGCAGTAATACAGTTAGCAAAGTACCAATACAGTTAGTACTCACAGAACTGTAAAAATGTGCTGTGGGTGACCTCTGACTTCTGACTTCACAAGGGAGAAGAGAATCAAACTCATCGGTCCAAGGCTGATTCCTAACAGGAAGTGGTCAGATGCACTTCTGCCTTTCCTGTTTCCTTACCTGTTCTTATACCGTCTGTTCCTCTTACAGCACTCTGTACTTCTCGGCTGACTTTAATAATTCATTGCAATGGCTGTACAGAGCTCACAAACCAAAATCACAGCTAGGGGCTTTATTAGGGAAACTGTTGATACTATTGTTAAATGCCATGTAGGAGTTTTCAATTCATAGAGACCCTGTGTATGGTATCCGAGGCTTTAAATCTTCAAGGGAGCAGAAAGTTTCATCTTTCTTCCTTGATTAGGGAAACTAATAAGTTACAATTCAGCATCATAAATGTTCAAGACACAGTTCTTTAAGTGTGGAAGCTTCTTCCCAGTCATGCCCATAGGCAGGCTTCTCTCTGATCTTTAGACACGTTGCCCCTTGGCCTCTGCCCTGATCGGACAATGTTGTAAAGTTCTTTTAGAGCTGCTGATAAATGCTCAAAGGGCACTGCACTGCACCATAAACCTCTGCCTGAAGCTCTTGTCTGTAGTTCCGTGGGTCAGCAAACCTGTTGTTGTTAGGTGCCATCAAGTTGGTTCTAACTCATAGCAACTCTATGCGCAACAGAACCATCCTCACAATTGTTATGTTTGAATCCACTGTTGCTTCCACTGTGTCTATCTATTTTGTTGGGGTTATTTCTCTTTTTTTGCTGATCATCCAATTTTCCAAGCATGATGTCCTTCTCCAGGCACTGATCCGTATAGATTACATGTCTAAAGAATGAGAGACCAAGTCTCACCATCTTTGTTTCTAAGGGACATTCTGGCTGTACTTATTCCAACACAGATTTATTTCTTCTTCTGGTAGTCCATGGTACTTTCAATATTTTTCTACAATACCAAAATCCAAATGCACCAATTTTCCTATGGTCTTTGTTATTCATTGTCCAACTTTCACATGCATTTGAGGTGATTGAAAATGCTACAACTTGAGTCAGCTGAACCTTGTCCTCAAATTCACATCTTTGCTCTTGAACTCTTTAAAGAGGTCTTATGCAGCAGATTTGGCTAATGCAATATGTAAGGTTGATTTTTTGACTACTGTTTCTATGAGCATTGATAGTGGATCCAAACAAATTGAAATATTTGACAGCTTCAATCGTTTCTCCATTTATCATAATGTTATTTATTGGTCCAGTTGTGAGGAATTTCATTTTCATTTTTTTTATATTGAGGTACAATCCATACTGAAGGTCTTTGACTTTCATCAATAAGAATTTCAGGTCCTCTTCACTTTCAGCAAGCAATGTTGTGTCATCTGCACCATCTGCATATCACAAGTTGTTAATGAGTCTTTCTCCATCCTGATGCCACATTCTTTTTCATATCACCCAGCATCTTGAATTATTTTCTCATCATATAGATTGAATAAGTATAGTGAAAGGATGCACCGTGGTGCATGCTTTTCCTGATATGAAGTCATTCAGTATCTCCCTTGTTCTGTTTGAATGACTGCCTCTTGGTCTATGTACAGGTTTCTCATTTAATTGTTCTCATTTAATTATGGGTTGGAACTGACTCGACAGCACTTAACAACAACAACAACCATTCAGAAGTGGCCTGCTCCTCCTCCTTTCTAGTCTGTCTTATTCTGGACTTTCTGCTACTGGTGGCATAATTTCCAATATCACAGCAGTACACAAGCCACCACAGTATAATAAACTGACACACATGTTTCCAAGTCATGGCCATAGGTAGGGTCTCTCAGTGGTCTTTAGTAGCCATGTAGCTCTTTGTCCTCTGCCCAGCTTAGGCAATGTTGTAAAGCTCTTGCAGGGCTATTGATAAATGTCCAAAGGTCACTCTACTCTGCCATAGCCTCAGCCTGAAGTGCTTGGCTCTACCACCATGGGTCAGCTGAGTACCAGGAGGCACCCCATTCCACAAACCAGCCTCCTGCCTGAAGGCACTCAGTTTTTTAATCTTTCCATGGGCGGGGAAGCCCAGCGCTCTGTCTCATGCTCTGGTTCTACTGCTGCCACTCCTTTGCTGCTCATTTACTATCACAGTTTTCTCTTTTCTGGATTTAAGATTGTTTGGTACCAGCACTAAACATCCAAAATTTTCATAGTTAATAGACCCTGCTTTACTATTTTATTGGTTAAAAACAAAAACAAAAACAAAAAAAAACCATGCATTATCCACACAAAATGAGCACTCCTGGGAAAGCATAGATCTCCCTATCCTCCAAGAGATGGTTTCTATGAGTATCTGCTGGTGGTGGTGGTCTGCCTCGGAGTCTGTTCCAACTCATAGAAACCCTGTACAGGGTTTCCGAGGCTGTAAATCTTACAGGAGCAGAAAGCCTCATCTTTCTCCCGCGGTGAACAGCTGGTAGATTCGAACTGCTGACCTTGAGGTTAGCAGCCCAATTCATAATTACAATGCTACCAGAGCTCCATATGAGTAACCAGTGAAAGATAAACCAGGAAAGGTGGGTACAGTCCATGAGAAAGTGTTGTGAATTCAGGCTTAGACTGATAACTTTGTCCTTCAGGCAGCTGTTAAAAAAGGGAGGCTGTCATGAGTTATAGCATCAGAAAAAATCTATTACACTCTGGTTTTAATACAGTTAGTATTCTATTTGTCATGGCTAGTATGGCAGCTCCCATAATTCACAAAGAAATTATCTTGTCTTCTTTTTAGTCCAGTTTCTTCTAACAATTATCTCAGCAATGAAGAACACCTTTATATTGGTAAAACATTCCTCCA